ACACACACACACACACACACACACACACACACACACACACACACACAAGAGGCCAGGGCTTCTCAAGCCTTCCCTTTTGTTTCAAATTCCTTTGTGATCAAAATGCCTAAGTAGGGGCTGGAGAGATAGCACAATAGCAAAGAGCTCTTGCTAATTCACCAAAGGTCTTATTCTATCTCTCCTAACAAGCTTCTTGGCTAAGTCAATTGCTTGTCTATTACCCGTTATTCTGCATAGCTGTGGTTAATACATTTGTCCTTAGCTATTTCAGCAAATGGTCCTGGGTAGCTGCCTGGGACTTATCAAGTTAGGGAAGGTGAAGCCAATCCCTCTGAGCCATTACAGGAATCATCAGACTGGCTGTTGTGGTGGCCCACCAGAATTGATCCTTGAAATTCATATTTTGAAGTCCCAGCCCAGTGTGGTCACATTTTGCAATAGGCATTTATGAAGCAATTAGACTAAAAAAAAGTGTGGTAGCACCTGTCTGAAATGCCAGTACTTTGGAGGCTGAGGCAGGAGGAGCTGAATATGAGTTCTGGGTTAGCAGAGATGCATAGTAAGATTCTGGCTCAATAAATGAAGAAATAAGTAAATGGATGTCATAAGGCTAAGGCATTACTCCAATAGGACTCAACGAGAACTCAGTGTAGCCATTTTCTTAGACCCCGGACTGTCTTATCTCCTCTTCCTCTCCCTGTCTAGCATTGTAAGGTGAAAAGGTGGTGCCTGTAAGTCAGAAAAAGCCTTTCCCAAAAACTTCAACCATGAGCCACAATGCTGTTAGGCTGTGGTGATTCAAGAGCTCTTTTGTCAGGTGCTGGAGTTTGCTCATTTGCTTGCGAGGAGGCCAGCTACCATGCTGTGTGGGAACTCAGCTTCAGACCACACGCAGAGGAACCCAGGCTCCAAGTAGGTCATCAGCCTCAACCTCCAGACATAAGGATCAGTCAGCCCTTAACTGCTTACAGTCTCCAGCTTTCAGGTCATCCAGCTGAGAGCCCGGACCCCAGGGAGCAGAGATGTCCCTTGTGCGCCATCAGTTGCCAGTACCGAGTCTGGGAGTTGAGAAACGGTTTTATGCTGCTGCATTTTATGACAGAGGCCTGTGCCGCAGCGCACAGTGAGGAACGTCAGTCTCCTTTTCCTCATCTTTCTTCTGGGATGTTGCAGTTGTCCCTGGCTCTACAATCATGTGGGCTTGAAACCACGAGGTGTCTCTGACTTCCTCACTTCACATTCTTTATACAGTCGGACACAGCTACTGGCTTTTTCACAGCAACCCTTGTTCTTTCCATTCCCAAGAGCCTTTGAAGTCATTTGATTAACTACATTATAAATACGATACCCTACAGAAAGAGCAGTCAGCAGGCCGTGCATTCAGGTTTTGCATTAATCAAAGGGCAGTATTTACAACATCTCACAAATCTGGGCATGGTGGTACATGTCTATAATTCCAGCACCCAAGAAGAGGAGGGTACATATCACATTGGAGGCTGTCCTGGGCTGTACAAGGCCTAGTCTTCCCTAACCCGAAGATATTCATAGTTGGTGCTTGCTGGGAAACAGGAAGCCAGTTTTCTCAAATGGAATGTCACTGGGTATATCCACAACACAGCAAACAGTGCAGGTCCCATGCTCAGTAGTTGGCTCACACACACACACACACACACACACACACACACACACACACACACAAATCTCCATGTCCTTTTGTGAGCTCTTTTCTTTGTCATACTGGTTTTCTTTTTAGTTTGCTTTGGTTTCAGCTTTTTATTGAGAAATTGGATATGGAGGTGGGAGGAGTTGAGAAAGAATATGATAAAATTTTAATATACAAAAACATTTTCTCAAAATGTTTAGCTTCAGTCTCTATCCCTGGCATTGAATTCCTAACACCCTTAGAATGTAGCAGCAATGTTTTATTCATCATGAATGTCTTCTGGTCATACTGTAGTTCATGATACTGAGTTAGGGTCATGATGAGGCTGGGCACCTCAAGGACAGAGCGCTCAGACCTCCAACCCACTCACTTCTGGGAGGTGGGAGGAGCAGCTGGGGATGGAGTGTTGTCATCAACCCTGCTACTGGGAAGCTGGGCAAGTGGGACACTCTGAGGACAAAGGAGTCTGGCCTTCCTCTACCTAATCACCTCATTGGACTGATCCTGAGTTGTAGCCTTCACAATAAAACAGTCACAACGAAAGTGATCTGCAAGCTGCCAACAGCAAACGTGGTCATGTGTGTGCACCCATGAAGAACTGTTAGCGTAAGAAACAAAGTCATGAGTTTGCATAAAACACCTTTATTTAGTGGCCAGATCCCAATGAAGAATGCCAGTCTTTGCTTGATTCTGTTAAGATGTGCTGTTACATATACTCTTAAGAAAGCAGACAAGTTCATCACCAAAAGCTGTTTCACTTGGAGTGTGTGCAGTAAAATAAAACTGTCCTTTGATTAAGTCTTTAAAATATAAAAATGGAAAAGAAAGGAACCCCAAAGCAGTTTCAGAACTAAAGGATGTCACCCTGGACTATTTACAGTGAGATGCCTTTTTGATGACACCCTGCTTGAGGCTCCTCCCCACACTCACCACTGACAGTTCTTGCTCCCTTTCTTGCTCAGTCATGATGAGTCCTTCCTCACTCGAGACAGCTTCCACTCAGTCTTTCCTCTCTGAAATCTCTTTGATACTTCTTTCCTCCACTCGGAAACCAGCAGTCTATTCAGTGGACACTTTTCTGAGCACCTGCTGTGAGGGAGGCACTGTGCTGGGAGTGCAGATTTAGATAAAGCAACATTTGAACCCCTCGTTGGGATGCTACGCGTCGGGTTGAATTTATAAAATACCGTCTTTCACATTATATTCTGGGGTATCCCAAATTCACACGGGCCGTGAATTTGGGGATTTCCTGAAACAGTGCACTTGGTTGGGTGGGGGGTGGGGTAGGATGGCGGTTGCTTGTGCACTTAGCATACTCTGTTGGCCTTGAACTCATGCATCTGTGATCTCACTTTCTGAGCTCTTAGCAGGTGATAGACCCAACAGCTGTTTGTGCAAATGTGGTTTTGGGGAAAGCAATGCTTTAAATAGCTTCGATAAATTCCAGATTTGAGAAATCCCCAAGTTCCTGAACTACAAAGTTTGGGCAATACATGTATGTGAAAGTCTCCCCTGGCTTGGATTTGCAGCAAGAGTGCTAACTTCCCATCTTTCCTCAAAGCCCACAGGCCACCCTCATACCTCCCCAACCCAAACCCCACCCCCCGCGCAGATTTCTTTGTGCTTCTTCAAGAATCCTTTTTTTTTCCTTCTTTTTTCTTTTTTTCTTCAAACATAAATTAAGCCTGCAGGTATCACCCCTCTCATATGTGAAACCAAAGCAAGGTTCTTGCCTTTGGTCCACACCTTTGTCCACGAGGCCTCCAGAGATCCATGAGAGATGCATTTGAAAAAGAAGGCAAGCCACGAGCTATAAAACCGGAACTGTGCAGGACAGTGTGGAAGCAAAAACTGAACCACGCCCTCTCGATTGTACCTCATGCCACCCCCCGGCAGACTGTCTCTCTGAGCATCCGCATTTGGACATTTTTTTTCCTCAGGCAGTGACTCAAGTCCAAATGCTTGAGTGGTGGTGGTCTTTCTCATTCACTCTTTGCGGCACGTTCTTTCTCTGGGTCCACAAAGCCGACTGCTGAATAATAGTAAAGGCAGCCTGGTGGGAAAGCTGTGCCCATTCCTCTCACAGGCCACAGTCACAGCTTCAGTACAGCGCGCATCCAGCCAGACGCCACTCAGTTCTCCACTCAAGAATATCGGTTACCAGAGCCACAACTTCCCCTCAAGCTCATACCAAGCCCTTTGGACCTGGAGGCGACTTAGGGAGTTGGCAGCATTCTCGTGTTACATTCCACCCGCCTTGCTCTGCTGGAGGAAGATGCCAGGTTTGCAACGTGAAGAGGGTGAGAGGAGCAAGGCATTCTGGGAGGGCGGGGGCGGGGCGGGGACCATGCACAAGCTTGTGGCTCTGTCGTGCGGTACGTTTTCAGTGTGACAGCATGTATTTCCACACATGAGAGCTTGTGCTTGTTCATGAAAGAAATAACTCTGCCCTGAAAAGCTCTTCTGTCGAATGTGGCCGAGAATATGTGTCTGTGTGTGTGTGAATGTGTCATGAGGTGATGTGTCAAGTCCTGTGAGTGTATCCTCCTGGCCCCTCCCCTGTTGTCACACCCACCGAGCCCCCAAGGACAAACTGACTGATGGGTTACACCTGGTCAGTCTGATATTCAGAAGCTTCTGACAGGCTTTCTGAGAAGCTCAGGAAGTTCTCCTGGTACTCGGAACACACAATCTCATAGCGGTAGTGCCGGAACTCCACAGCCAGGGTGCCAAAGTACGAGAGGAAGCACATGACCAGGCCCCACTGGACCCTGGCTGCGTACATGTGGATACGTTGGGCCATGAGGATGAAGTCTGGGGCACAGCGGTCAAGGAAGGTAATCAGACATCATTACGTCAGTCTCCATCACTGGCAACGCTGGTAGCCATGGCCACGCCTCATAGGCATGTCACAGGGCTAGCTGGGAGCTGACATTTGCATGTGTTGTTAAACAAACCTGAGCTGTGTGCCATGCTGGGCATGTTTCTGGATGTCTTCACAGATAATCTCTAACAGTTATCCTGTTGTCACTGACAGGCTTACAAATAGTTGATAGACTGAGGCCAAGCAGGTAACTTGCCTGAAGTCATTCTTACAAAGGCATGAATTGCTGTGTTTACACAAACACCTCGGCCATGCGACTGAACTCCACACCTGCCCGACTAGATGTGAGAGTAGCAAAAGGGATGTGGCTCTGTGGACGTTTCACATCTCAGTACCACCACGTACCAGCGTCTGCCCCACAATGCTAATACTCCTCTGCTTTTCTCCCTCTGGATCCCTGGTTGCACGTTAAATAAAACATGTAACCAAAGGAAGAGAAGCAGTCGAAAAGGCCTTCGTGAGCCCAGTGTGGTGGGGTATGCATGGAACACCGGCTCTTGGGAAGTAGAGGCAGGAGAACCCAGAGTTCACGGCCAAGCTCACTTACACAGTGAGCCTGAGGTCACTGCTGGCCTATGTGAGGACCTGTCTCAAGATAAAAAATGTTCACAAAAGTAAGGAGGGACAAAAGGTGTAAAGCGGTGTAAATATCAAAATACATTATATTTTGTATTTTGCAAAACAGTCACATATGTAAAAGTAAATTAAAAATTAAAAAAATCTAAACAAAATAATCCCCAAACACCAATAAAATATCAAGTGACAGTCCTATTCTTAAATATATGTATGCCCATACCAAAAAAATATCTGTGTAATACATATATGTGTGTGCACACACATACGACCATGTATAGGGAGGTAGAGGAGCTGAGAAACGAGCAAAAAGTTCCCTGGACATATCTGAGAACTTGTATCTGTGCTCTGTCTTTAATAGACCTAAAATCCTCAGGGGCTTTCGGAGAATAAAGAAACAGATGAAACGTCTTCAGCCGATCTTTAGTTTCTCAACTGAGCCTGGATCCAAGAAACCTAGATACTAAGCAACTGTCCTGGCTGAGTTTGTGTCAACTTGACATGAGTAGAATCGGCAGAGAGGAAGGAGCCTCAGCTGAGGAAATGCCTCCAAGAGCTCCAGCTATAAGGCATTGTCTCAGTTAGTGATCAATGAGGGAGGCCCAGCCCACTGTAGGTGGAGCCATCCCTGGGCAGGTGGCTTGGGTTCTATGAGAAAGCAGGCTGAGCAAACCAGAAAGTAGCACCCTCCATGGCCTCTGCATCAGCCCCTGCCTCCAGTCTTGTTTGAGTTCCTGTTCTGCTGACTTCCTTCAGGGATGAGCAATGATGTGGAAGTGTAAGGCAAATAAACCCTTTCCTCCCCAACTTGCTTTTTGGTCCTGGTGTTTCGTCACACACAGCAAGAGAAACCCTAAGACAGCAGGGCTTCCGAGTGTTTAGATGCAACACAGTCAGAACACTGTGTTCTGAACATTAGCTGTCAGCCCTAAAGTCCCTGAAGGTCCGTGCACATTCTTCTGACTGAGGGTAGAAAGTGTCACCCGGCCTGTGTTAACTTGTTGGGGAGATGGCAGCTTTGGTTTCTTTGATCATATTGTATCAGATTGCTACAATTCGTGTGATCCTGGACATACTAACCTACCTATGAATCTCAACCTGTGATCGAAAGTATTGAACCATTCCAACTGCTGAGAATGATGCCTAAGGATGCTCAGCAAACACTGGGGATCACTGTGACTGAGGTGTGCAAGTGTTAGCCGTGCGTGGCCACTTCTGGCGTCTGAGGAGAACCTGTGTGAGTAAATTCTGGTTACCACAGGGTGTAGATGAGCCTGAGCCATTCTTCCCAGCTCAATAGGAATAAAGGCTGATTTTGTTTTTCATTTGCTCTGTGCTCTGGGTAACTGATGGGTGGGGTGGGGTTTCTAATAACAAATACCAGCCACAGGCTCATGTACTTGAAATCTCCATCCCCAGTTGGTGGCTCTGTTTGGAAAAGTTCCAGAACTCCAGCAAGCTGGAGCCTTGCTGGAGGAAGAATGTTACCAGAGTGCAGACTCTGGTTTTTATAGCTTTGCTCTCCTCCCCGTTCTCTCTGTTTCCTGTGCATGAGTGAAAATTCAGACCGCCAGCTTCCAGCTCCAGCCATCGGCTTTCCCCCGTCTGAGGCCATGCATTCCCCCAATGTGATGGACTCTAACCCTCCGCGTCCACTCATCTTCTAAGTTGCTTTTGGTCATGGCATTTCATCATAGCAACAGAAAAGTGGGACACAGAGGGAACTGGTGACTTGTACTGGGCCAGGCTACTGGTGCTGTCACCGAGTCTGGCTCTAGTTCTAGACTTGTCTGGGGTCTGAGGGAGTAAGGCCCACTCTGCCTTTCTCTTCTTCTGTTTGTTGATAACAGGCTGTGGATGGGGCCTGGGCCATTCTCCCCCAGTTTACTAGGAATAAAGGCTGATTTTCACCTAGCTTATCTTTGTCTGTTCTCCATTGGTTCAAAATCTGAGGCAAGAAAAGCACCCTGATGCTTCACGTATTTATTCTGGAAAACCTCACACATGTAGGTAACCTAGTTCCTGGATTTGTTTTCCAGAAAAACTTAGAACACTGAAAGATACAAACATTTGTTCCTTGAAGGTCACTTTAAGGTTAATTAATAATCTAACCCTAGTAGGACTTGAAGTCATGAATTTTTTAAGATAGAAAAAACATCACAACACTCTTGGATTTTTTTTTTGTACCGTGGTTTTCATAAATGGAGTACATGACTGGAGACAGAATGCAAGAACCTTTCCCGTAGGCTGAAATAATCTTCAGAGAGCGAACCTGCCTTAGTTTTAGTTCCCCATCTCTCTCTAGCATAAAAATCTGATCTGACAGTTTTTTAAAAACTACTTTTATTTTTGAGACAGGGTCTGATGTAGTCCAGTGTGGCCTTGAACTCACTCACTGTGTAGCCAAGGATGATTGTAAACTCCCAATTATCTTGCTGTTTCCCCCCTTCTCCCCAGGTTCTGGGATTACATCTATGCTCCACCATACCTTACTGGGTGTTTTTATTTATTTGTTCTCCAGAGATTTATTTTTATTTTTTTGTGTATGATTGTTTTGTCTGCATGTATGTCTGAGTACCTTTTGTGTGCTCAGTACCTGAGGAGGCTACAGCGACCTCAGATAGCATCCCCGCTATCTGGAGTTACAGACAGCTGTGAGCCACCATGTGGATGTGGGAATCAAACCCCAGTCCTCAGCAAGAGCAGCCAGTGCTCTTGAGTACCAAGCCATCTCTCACTCTGGCCCCTGGCTATTCATTTTCAAAGTGATGGGCTCACTATGGCGTTCTGGTCTCACGCCTTTTGATCTGACAGTTTTACGCACCAGGAAGGACACCAGCCTTATTTTCTACACATAAAACTTACCTTGCTCTACTGTCCCTGACAAAGAGCCTTCAAAGGATACACAGGACTACACAGAGCGTAATGACAGCCGACAGGATGACTCGTGGAATTCCAACTCTCCGTCCCTCGTTCTTGATATTGACTTTGAGTGTCAATGCAGCCTGTATCCAGCAGGTCAATGTGCCAAACCCAAAGGTCAAGGATGTTCCCACGTTATGGATTTCTTCGTCATTTTTGAGCTAGGGAACAGAGAAGGTATATGGAGGCTCATTTGGAAATGTGTAGTCTTATGAGAATACGAGGGCAAAGCACTTCTCGACTGTGGGCCCACAGAGATGAGACACTGGACTTCTCTCTAAGCCTCCTTGTGTCGATTCTCAAGTGGTTAAAATCTACAGAGGGAGGAAAAGAAGTAGTTTGCCTAAACTCAAAAACATTTGTTTAGAAAACCCTGCAGGAGGCAAGGATGAGTTCCCTGAATTTATTTTCCAGAAAAAGCTTTTAAGGAAAGAAAATTAAAAAGCAGGAGGTTTACATAAAAAGGAAAATGTCAGGTTTCTATGGGCACGCATCCCAGACTCTGCTTCCCGAGCTCAAAGCATGAGGCTTGGGACGTGGCTGCACACTTTCTGAGAATTGCCAGTTCTGGCATGGGAACATTTGACTGGCACACAGTGATACCCTTGGGACAATTGGCCCCTTTTGTGTAACTCATCCTACTCAACATTAACAGGAATTCTCTGGGTTTTGTTTTTCCTAGAGCAATAAAGAAAACTGCAAGCTCCGAGTGTTAGCCAGCTCCACAGGCCATTAAAGAACAACTGTGTTGAAAATCCGTACTCAAGGCTTTTGCAGAGTTCAAGGACTGAGACTCTTCTCCAAGTCATGGCACAGCTATTTTACAGAGGGTGCCTAGAATCTCCATTTGAAATTATCTGCATTTTAACTGTACCTGCAGGAAAATGAAATCTGCCCAAGAGACAGCTTTTAAACCACTGTGAAACAGTATTTTAAAACTTTACAATGCCCTCAGGTGTTTTGCTGTTTGACAGTGTTGCCATAAGTGTTGTACCAAATCAATAATATCTTTCCCTTATAATTTTTCTATTGTTTCTGGTTGTAGGTCCCTCTCTCCAATGCCCTTTTTGCTAGGAGGCCACTTTCCCCCTCATAATTCAAAAGGTATATTTTAAATATTTATTTAAAATAATGATTTCCCAAGTTAAATTTCACTTCCAGAAAATCAATTTCTCGCGTTGAATGCAACCCATTTCATTTATTATCACTATTTTACCCGATTGTAAAATAGCTAATACAGTCATATGGTTCAGGCTTTTACAAATTTATAAAAAGAGGCAGTAATTGAAACATTTCTTATCCCATATGCCAGAGGGCTGATAATTTGTGCCCCAATCACTACTGACAGACACTCCAGCAAGGGTTCTACATATCATTCAAAGCTTTACACTTTGTCGTTCTCCAAGGCAACCCATTTCTGGGATTCTTCTAGGACTTTCGAATGAAATACGCACCTCACAACGTCTCAAAGCTCAACGCTCTGGTGGAGGGAATGGGCATGTACTTTAGGCTGTGCCTAAACCTGCAGGACAGGCAGGTGAGAGGGAAGGCCATCACCAAGATCCCAGCAATCTCGTCAGAAATGCCCTTGACAGTTTTTACCCTATGCGATAACACTGTAAGGATGTAGCTTTCTGATTATCCAGCTTAGTATGAAAAGGATTGCTCAACAACAGGTCATACAAAGCACTTATTTGCTATGTGCCAAGATGAAGTCTTGAGGAATAAACAATCCTGGTTTAATGAATCATCAAGGGTAAGGCTTAGAATGAGGAAGAGCTGTAGAAAACCCGCTGGTATGTTTTGGAAAGAACAGGAGTAAATGTTCACTAGAACTCCGAGGGTCTTGAGTTCATCCAACAGATCAGGAAGACTGGATCTAGCTCTTATTTGCTCACAAAGAGAAAGTTTGTAGCAGGGCAGGGTGGACTACAAGGTGCAACAAATAGAAATAGGGAAATCAGCCAACTATGGAAAAAATGAAGCCACCCAGGACAAGAGGAAAAGGCAGTATTTACTGGCGAGGGAAATTACTCTTCCAGGTGTGCTCTCAGGCTTCTGAGTTCTAGGAAGGTAAGTCTGGGCTTTCCATCCCACCTTTCATGGGAACTAGTTATTCTGCAATGCGTGCTTTCATCGTATATGGCTGGTCAGCTTTTAATTATCTAGAAAGGCACCCTGGGATACAATTTGTAATGAAGAAAAGTGTGAGCCACACTGCATAGAAGTCATTTTAGGAAACACACAGCTGTCTCAGCCACTTCCCCAGTCACCATGCCATCTGTGTCTCCCATTAACACTCACATGTCTGATGGGAACAGGCACAGAGAAAGCATGATACCGAACCAAAGGGTCTACTTGTTTCTGAGGTTCAGAATCATCTGGGTCACAAGGTGACCATACCTCAGGCCGCAATAATCTAGACGTGAATAATCTTACCAGTGTGAGAGGGAGGCCAAAAAGCCAGAGGAAGTACCTGGAAATTACCAAGTAAGGTCATTCCAAAGGAAGCCAGGCACAGCGCCACCAAACCACTAATATTCAGCCACGGGTTTAAAACCTTTGGTTTCAGCTGGATGAAGCGCAGAACAGCGACCACGAGGGCTAGGAATGAAGCAAATCATACAGTTAAAGTATGCCTAGACTAAGGCAGAAGCCTAAAACCACAATGTGCCAAAAAAAAAAAAAAAAAGCAAGATTGTTTTACTACTTTTTTGTTGTTGTTGTTGTTTTGTTTTTGTTTTTGAGAAGGATGGCTTGACACTCAGTATGTTGTCCAGGCTCTTACTCAGTAACCCCCTCCCTTAGCCTCCTGAATGCTGGAGTTATAGACATGTGCCACAGACAAGTTTTCTTCATTATTTCTTTGATTATTTTTGAGATTATAGTATGTCACTTTCTCCTTCCTTTCCTCTCCAAACCTCCTATACACACCTACTCCATGGCTTTTTTTTTCATTAATTGTTGTTAGAAACATATGTATGTATATGTACATACAATACATATTCCTGAATACATAAACAAACCCAATGGGTCGGTGTAATGCTACCTGTATGTATGTTTTCAGGGCTGATTATTTGGCACTAAATGACAAATTCATGTATTCTTCCCTGGGGAAGACTTTTCCCACTTTTCCTAGCATTCCTCAGTTGCTCGTAGTTCTTGACAGACAGTATTTAAAGAAACTTTTCATTCAATGCTTAGACTCTTCAGCTGCATTACTATCCTTAATTTTTGGGGTCTCACAGGGGGACAGGAAGCATCAGGGCTGTCTGTGACAATTCCAGGGATGCCAGGATGACAGCATTGCTAACAGGACCCTTCTAAGAGTTTTCACAAGCTGTCGGCAAGGAAAGCCAGGGTTGGGAGAGTACAGCAGAGGCAGTACACAGAGGAGACAGGGGCAGAGAACATATAGAACTCAGGATTCCCTGATCAGTCATCTTCAGCTTAGAGCAGTGTTAGAGCAGAGAGGGGGGAAGACACAGGAGAGAGGACAAGGTAACTACATCTGGAATAACCACGTTCACTAAAACTGAATTCTTTCAAATGATATTAATCACTCATTTTAAAAGGATACTTTAAAAAAGGTGAATTGAGAATATAAAGGTAGAATGGGGGGGAAGTTAGAGTTCAAACCCTACATCCATCCATCTATCTATCTATCTATCTGTCTTTACATCTTGGCCACAATATCCCCTCCTTCCTTTCCTCCCAGTCTTCCCCCTCCCCCAAATTCATTCCTTCTCTGTTCTTCAGAAAGGGCAGGCCTCCCATGGATATCAAACAGCCATGGCATATCAACAAACCCCACTTCAGGGTCCCCTAACAATTGGAGTAGGGGCTGTCTCTGACTCTTTTGCCTGCCTTTGGATCCCTTTCCCCTAGCTAGGCTGCCTTGTCTGGCCTCAGTGGGAAAGAATGCACTTAGTCCTGTTGTGACTTGATGTGCCAGGTTGGTGCCCATGGAAGGGAGAATTTGCGGGAGTGTAAGAGTGGGACTGGGAGAAGAGGAGGAAGGGGGCTTCTATCTGACTGTAAAGTGATTAAATAAATAATAAAGAAAAAAAGAAGAAAAGAAAACCTACTTCTGATAGACGCCTTGGGGACAGTCCACATTCAAACCACTAACCTAAAAATCACCTTTTATTACTGCTTATTGCGGAGATGTACATATGCATATGTGTATATATGTACATGTAAACTTAGTCTATAAATTATTAAAGATGATTGGCAATTAATTTAAATCATAAGTACGTATAAGGGAATGCACTAACAACTTCCTATGACTATTTTGATATTATATTTCAGAAGGAAAGACAAAATTACCCTATTAATATAGCAAATTAACTAGAAATTATTTACTAAGAATTTAACCTGGACTCTGGACCCTCATCTCTCCGGCCGTTAAGAGAGAGAAGCCATCTACACGATTGCACTTCCCAAGCTGCTAGGCTTCACTGTGCCACGCTGTCATCCAGCGCTCATTTGTAACCGAGTGTACCTCTGACTGGCCAAGGGGAATAAAACTTGCTTCGGATCTGGATTTTGTAATCAGGATAAAGCCTGATCTACAAAACTGTAAATTATTCACCTTGACATAGCTTCTGGTACACGTTCCGGCCAAGGCCCTATGACTGATCAGAGAAAAACTAAGTTGACAGCGGCTCTCACCACAACCAGTGTCCCTGGAGTTAGGTCAAAGTCATGTTAATGACACCGCATCCTACGGGAGTGGGGAAAAGCAGGAGGCTGTATTAGTTTTTAGGATGGGAACAGGAGGAGGAATTTGGGAGAGGGTTGGTTACAGTGGAGCTGATGAAGCAACCTCAGGTCAGGACTGAGGCTCAGCACCAGACCCTATGGGGACACTTGCTGGTCAACACTGTGTGATGTCATGGCAAACACAAACACAGCACATCTGATCTCTTTTAAAGACAACTAGTAAAAACTCTTTGTCTGGGAACTCCCTGCTGGGCATTTGACATCATGGGGCATATTGTGTTAGAACACTGACTGACAACACAGACCCCAAAATGCTCCTCTACGACAGTGTGCTCCTCCCGGCCCTGTGGAGGGGTTCTGAGCCCTTTTAAGCACTATGTATGTCTTGCCTGGGGACATGGGTGTGTTCAGCTCCTGGAAGCAGTGTCTTCCTATTTGGAATATAGGTGAGAAGTCGCTTTATCACGAGCAGAAACCTATCTGAATAGAATAATTTGACCCAGTTTTGACAGTTGTATTCTAAACACCAGGCTTTGCCCTTTTCAGCCACCAACTCACTAATCAGCTCAGAAGAGATAAGACAGATTCTAGTTGAAGCTTTAGAAAGATGGAAATAACGGAGATTTGGCTTTAGAAGAATTTATGAACTTTAATCTGTCTCTGGTAAATCCATCTGTTAAAAAAAGTCAATTTTCAAGCAAATAGTGATCAAGTTATAACTTCTTGACAGTAACTTCTGGGAAATATGACAATTTCAGAGGTATCTTCATATTACAAATGCTGGCCTACTCAGATATACCTTAACACTTAAAAAATTATCATTTTTATGTGTTTCGCCTGCAAGTATGTGTGCCACACACATATATATATATAGTACCTGCAGGGCACAGAAGAGGACGCCAGGTGTCCGGGGGCTGGAAAGTTGTGAGCCACCAGCCAGTGCTCTTAATAGCTGTGCCAACCCTCCATCCCCTAACAGATTGATAAATACACTTTTAAGTTTCATTAAAAATTTATTGATTTGGGGGCAGTGACATGGCTTGGTAAATACACTTGCTACCAACACTGACACCCTGAGTTCAATCCCCAGGACACGGGGATTGAGCACTAACTTTTGAACATTGTCCTCTGACCTCCACACACATGTTGAGACATGTACGCACTACTGCCCCCCCCCCCATGAGATGCAATACCATAGATTTTGATCTTTATTAATAGCTTTAGAGAAAAAACTTTTAACCTACCCATCTGCTACTTTCAGGTTACACTGTTGTTATGTGGGGCCGCCCATCTAATTTTCCTCTAGGTTTTAAGAGAACACAAATGCAAACGTAGCTGACTGTTAAAAATGAAAGGTGTAAAGACCGATGGGAGTTTTCGACTCAGAAACGCAGAATAACATCTCCCTATCATAGTCCTAAGCTGGCACCTGGCCAACTTCTATTTTGTTTTGTTAATTTTACCATTTATGTATTGATGGCTCCTGTTTATGGCTGTGGGAAAGCAAGGCAGCCATTGTATTTTGGCTCAAGGAGGGAAGCGGCTGCCGTGAGGTGGGTGACCGAAATCATTTAGCTATTAGCTTTATTTAGCCTCATACCCTCCCCAGGGCGAGGGGTAATGCTCTTTTTAACACATTTGTCTTAGGTCCTTTCCCCCGGCAGAGACGGAAGTGTACATTTAGGATGAAGACTACGGCTAATTCGGTGAAGAAAATAACTGAGCATTTAATCTTTGATTAGTCTGTCAAAAAAAAAATAAATAAATAAAGGATCTTTGCTAACTAATTTTAATAAATGCCACGTGGGGTCTTTTTTGGACCATAAATTACAGTATATATGGCTGTCAAAAGCAGTGACAGTTATTTTTAAAGGTAGATGGGGAGTGTAACGTGACAGTCAGAGGTCTACAGTCAGGGTCCGGCACGAGGAGAAGAAAGTAGCCACCCTGTGCAGCAAGAACCTGTAGTAAAAAAAAAATGGGTTCTTCTCCATTTTCAGCATTGACAAATCGGGAACCGCTGCGTTGCTCTCACCGAACACTGATCTTAATCAGTCTTGCACCTACCAGATGGCACCAAACATGATGAAAGATAATAAAGACAGCACCGGCTGCTGCCAGACCTTCCAGGGAAAGCTGGTGATACCTAATCGTTTCTTGGTGGATCAGGGAGAATGAGGTGTTGATGGATGTCGGCGGGAAGAGGGGCGTCTCTTGCACTGCTTGCTTCTGCGGATGCTTTTATAATTAGCTAATCACAAGCTTCGTGACTACCTGACTCGCGCCAAGCGTGCAAACTGTCCGTTTTCAGATCCCACACCCGAGACGACTGGGAAATATCAATTTGCGCCTAGAATACAAAGGAAATAACGTGTCGCTTCCAGCGTGTTGGTTGGCTTCTTTACAGCCTGGTGGAGGACGGCCTTTGCAGGAAGGCAGGCTCCCGTGTATTGGGATGAAGTGAGGCAGTGTTTAGAAAGCGCTCAGCCATGGGTCTGGAGTAGAAGTCAGGGCTGCTAATGTCTGCGTTGGGCCCTAGGGGTGCTCGTGCCGAGGCTGTCAGCCTGTAGGCCTGTGTGCTGTGAAAGCAGAGGAAAGCCGTGGAAAGCCGCAGGCCTGCAATTCAACTTCACTCTTGGGGCTTTGTGCTCTGTGAGCTGCAAGCATTCGTCAGTAGCCACTTAGGCCACTGTATGAATGGGTTTACTGGGTTACTTATTTATTTACTTGCTTATTTATTTACTTGCTTACAGACAGGGGCTATCTATGTAGCCCAGGCTAGCCTGGGAACTCACCATGTAGACAAGGCTGACCTCAAATTCAGATATCCACCTGCCTCTGCCTTCACACATGCCTGAGGTCTACCAGTGTCCCGCCTGAACCTGTAAAGGCGTGTGCCACCACACCTGGCCTGGGTGCTTTTAGGAGAGCAGGCAGGTGTCAAGAGATGGAAGAAGGGATATAAAGCTGCCAGTTCTGAGGCTAAAGGCTGGGAAGGCCAACCTGGTCACACACAAGTACTTTCCGCTGAGTGTTGTGACCTTAAATACTGTGACCGTCTGAGACACGAAACCCTCATGGTCAAGGGCAGAAAGGAAATGCTGCTTTAAGGACCCCATGACCCAACATCATGACCTTCTGGTGGTTCTGGGGCAGACACTTCCAGGTTAGGTCATAGCTGGGGCAGGAAAAGGTGTCGTCAAAACTACATGTAGCTCCAGGGAGACGTCTTTTAACTGCAGAGAAGCCCTCTTCAGAGTGCCTCTCTGAGGGTGCTCTTCATGAGAGTTTCTCAGGGGTTGAGCTTTTGTCTGCCCACGCTGTGTTCTGGACCAACACTCTTCCAGTGTGTTCTACAGGTCTTCCCTTTCCTAAACAAACTTTTTTTTTTTTTTTTTTTTTAATATGCATAGGTGCTAGAGAGAATGGTGAGGTTGAGAGCACTTGCTGCTCTTGCAGCAGACCTGGGCTTGATTCCCAGCACCCACACTGTGGCTCACAGCTGTCAGAAACTCCAGTTCCAGGGCATCTGGTGCCTTCCTCTAACCTCCATGGTACCAGACATGCAAGTGGTGCATGGAGGTAAACCAGTCATACACATAAAATACAAAGAAATAAATCTTTTAAAAAGTATACATGGTTTTAACCCAGCGCTTGGGAGATGGAGGCAGGGGGAGCAGGAGTTTAAAGTCATCTGCGACATAGTCAGTTCAAGGCGAGCCTGGGCTAAATTAGATCCTGCCTCAAATATAAAAAGAAAGAGGAAGTAGGAGGGATGATGATGATGACGATGATGAAGATGATGATGATACACATGAGGCTGGGGATATGGTTCAATTGGAAGAAAACTTGCCTAGCATGCACAAAGCTCTGGGTTGTATCTCCAGAACCACAGGAACTGGGCATGGTGATCCATGCCTGCAATTCCAGAACTTGGAAAGTAGAGGCTGGAGGATCAAAAGTTCAAGGTCATCCTAGCTACATAGTGAGTTTTCAGCTAGCCTAGGCTACAGTAAAACCCTATCTTGAAGTGGAGGCACACACATTAGGGAGCAGAAATTTGTTTCGGAGCAGAGAGGAGAGGCTCTGTATATAAATGAACACACAGATACAAGGATTAAGGATGAGAAAAGGTGATGCTGTCTTTGTAACGCTATGTGTATGGTTTGCTAGGAATGGAAGTCTCAGTATTCAAAAGCAAAAACAGAAATCAACATTCCTCCAAAGAACTGGGGTTGTTGTGCTGCCCCTGGTTCTCTCCTCACGGTGTGCCAACACCAACATCCATGCCAACAAGGTCAATCCATGACCCCTTATAAGATGCCCAGAAGGACTGGTTTAGAAGATTTTTCACCAAGAAAAAGATGCTAGCTGTGGTGGCATACACCTTTATTCCCAGCACTTGGGAGGCAGAGGCAGTCGGATCTTTTCTGAGTTCGAGGCCAGCCTGGTCCACAGAGTGCGTTCCAGGACAGCCAAAGCTCTTACACAGAGAAACTCTGTCTCAAAAACAAAACAAAACAAAACAAAACAAAACAAAACAAAACAACAAAACTCCAAACAAAACCCAAAAAGCAATGCCAAAGCAAACAACCAAACCAAAGCAAAACAAAAACAGCAAGAGAAGGAGCATGGCTACCTCCCACCGTTTCCAGAGGACTGGTGGGGTCTTGCTAGTATTTGCAGACCCTGGGGACAGGACGTTAAAGGAAGGTCTTGGACCCCATAGAGGCACTTTTTCTTAAACGTACCTCTTCACATGGCAGCCTGATATGTATGTGGGGACACAGAAGGGTATTATCCTAGGGTCAATATTAACGGGGATGCTTATCACAGAGCCTACCTATGTTTCCGTGTTCACCAGGTGAACGATAACCAAGGCCTCGTCTTCAGAGCAACCATGAGGCACCCTATTACATTCTCAGCAAGATTTTATGACACGTGAAATATATTATCTCACGCGGCAAAGGAAATAAAGTTCAGACTATGAAGAAAAAGATGATGACAGTGAAGGAAAGAGGGCAGGGAGGGAGGCAAAGGGATTTACGAGGGGGGAAAAGGATCCCTAAAACAAAAAGCTGCCTTCAGCATGCTGACATGACGTGACACTAAATCATCAGCCAGGCCCCTCATTGCTTTGATATGGGTTTGGGAGGATTTACAACAGAGATGTAGCAGAGCACAGGAAACGGTTTCCTCCTCATCTCACCTAGGAAGGCGGCCATGTTCATTACTTGGCTGAACACACAGCTGGCAGGGGGATCGTCGCCTGCAAAACTGGAAGAAGACAGAGCCTCAGAGTCTGGTATTCACAATTGTAACTTGATGGAGCTGACATGTCCTCTCCTTAAACTCCACAGGTCAGGCAGAATGAGAGTTACCTGATGTATGGCTCATGTTTCACCCCAGATTTCCTAGATAACGAAAGAAAAAAAAAAGGCACTTTTAACACAAAGTCCCGAGTAACTGTGGGGGAATGGTGAGTTCTCTAGGGTAATAGTTACCTTGAAGCTGAATTTAGTGGCAAAATCTTGTCATCCTCCACGGCTATAAAGTACCTAGCAAGAAAGAATGACTAGCTTATTAAACAAAACAATTTAAAATAAACAAAAAAACCCTAAGAAATACGTTTTTCATTTTAATTGGGTTAAGTATCCAATATATTTATATCATAGATGTATATCATATCCAACTAAAAGAACGTTCTTTGGCTAGGCATGCTTGCACACATGCAACTATCTCCAGTGTTTGGGATATGGAGGCAGCAAGATCAAGAATCCAAAATCATCTTTAGCTACATAGGGAGTGCAAGATCAGCCTGGCTATGAGACCGTCTCTCAGAAAACCAACCAGCCAAACAAACAAACAGGAAACAGAACTACACTTATTTTTCTTTTGGGACAGGGTCTCATTATGACATTGGCTGGCCTAGAATTTGTTATATGTGGCTCAGGCTGGCCTAAAACTTACAAGCCTCCTGTTTCATCCTTCCAAGTGTGGGCATTTCGGGCACTGCCCCACTACAACCATGCCAATCGCAACTCTTTACCCATAGATCACTGGTGCTTTAAAACTAAATGCCGTGATTAATAGATCACTGATTATCAGGCCCTGGAGAGATGGCTCAGCTGTGCAGAGCACATGCTGTTCTTCCAGAGGATCTGAGTTTCAGTTCTCAGCACCCATGTCTGGTAGCTCATGACTCCTGTGACTCCAGCTCCAGAGGGACCTGATGCCTCCACAGATGTCCACACTCAAATGCACATACCCACACAGAGATATATACATAATTTTAAAAACTCCTTAAATTAACAGAATAATTACAACCTGAAAACTCGGGGAGGGGGAATAAACCTTACAGCTTTAACAAAATTTCTCAGGAATATATGACCACCGTTCTTCCTCTCCTGTTTTGTTCTGTTTTGTTTCCCACTCTTGGTAATCAAGCCTGTGTTGGTTTGAATGGGAATAATACTTGATTCCCAGTTGGTAGAACTGTTTGGGAAGGATCAGGAGGTGTGGCCTTGTGGGAGGTGTCACTGGGGTGGGGTAGGCTTTAAGGTTCAAAGGCTTACAGCATTCCCAGTTAGCTCTCTCGGCCTCCTACTTGAAGATCAAGACTGAGCTCGCAGCTGTTCCGCTCACCATGCCTTTGCTCTGCAATCACAGGCTCAAACCCTCTGAAACCAGAAGCCCCAATCAAATACTTTCTTTTTTATAAGTGGCCTTGGCCATGGTGTTTCATTACGGCAACAGAACAGTGACTAAGACAGAGCTCGCGGCCTTGTATGTGCTAGGCAAGTGCTCTCCCACTAACCTTACAGCCTGTGACAGCATTCTTCATGACTTTTCTTAAGACACTGAAATCAGCAACCAAGGGAACTTTGTGTGTGTGTGTGTGTGTGTGTGTGTGTGTGTGTGTGTGTGTGTTAAGCCAGGCCTTCTGGCATAGAGATACCTATTTTATAAACACATTATATCTTGTCATAACTTGTCATAACTGCAAATGGAGTCCACAGTGTATTGGTATCAAATGAGAAAATCTTGCAAATATTAACTCATACAACCAGTTTTTAAAACATCCCTTACTGTACAAGCCAGTCATCCCAGCACAGGCTCCATACCAGCCCAAAGAGCGAGACTATCTAGAAACAAAAACTTCAGAAGAACAAATGGCTGTGTGTGGTGGTACATGCCTGTAATTTCAGCAAGCAGGAAGCAAGGCAGGAAGACTGCTGCAAGTTCACGGCCAGCCTAGTCTACATAGCAAGACCTTGTCTTGAAGGGGAGGGGGTGGAGAGAGGGGGAAAGACAGAAAGAGAGGAGGAGGAGGAGGAGGAAGAGAAGGAGGAGAAAGAAAAAGAAGAAAATAAAACCAGTCTTCTTCATAACCTATTTTTGCATAACTTATTATTCAATTTTGTTATTTTACTTGAAGTAATAAAGGATGAGAAAAAATGGAGACTTTAGTAAGGTTGAATTAGTATGCATATATATATATATATATACATATAAATACATATTTACTTTAGAAAAACCAACCATTTGCTCTATATAATGTTATCTATAAATACACTTCTATAAATATGTCATAATAACCAAACTTGGATTTTCTCTGTATTCCACTTGCATCCTTAGCCCGTTCACTAAAGCATACTCACACTATCCACAAGCCAGCTGAAGTAAACAAAGTAAACACAAGAGGCAGGAACAGCCACACGCTGCACTTCTTCCCGTCCATGCCTGCACTGCTGAAACCAAACGAACGGGCATTAATAATGATGCAAAAGCCCACCTAGCTCTTTCAAGATGGAGCGTCCGGCTGGGAATTAAAAAAAAAACAACCCACATTATTATTTTGTAAAACCGTGATTCAACTCTGTTATTACTGCCACCACTTCAGATGTCCATCCTGTTTGTCCTCCTGAATGGTGATTAAGCATCCCTAGGGTCCTCTTTGTTGCTTAGCTTCGTTAGGACTATAGATTTTAGTATGTTTATCCTATATCATATGGCATTGGTCAGAGGTCCGCTTGGCAGTGGCCTCACTTGGCAGCATGTGTCGACTCCCTTTTTGTAGAATGGACACTGTTAGAGTCTACCTGACGGAGTCTCCACGGCCTCTCCAAAAGAACTGTTGAGCCACCAGGAATATAGTTGTTTTGAGAAATGTCTCACAGTCCCTGGGGCGTAGCTGACTTTGGAGGACAAGGGGCAAAATGTCCCTTTTAATCTCTCTTTTCGAATTAGGATAGCCTCCAAGTGTATTCAGTAAATAGCCAGAAGGTCAGTTACTCCAGGTTGGTACTTTCGGTGTGTAATATTTAAAGCTTCGGCAAAGCCCAAATGCTTTTAAATAAATCCTGCTTAGCCACCTGGGTCTCATCTTCCCCATGTCTTGTATAACTTAATTAGAACTTTTGGGATTTGCTTAGGCTTTCCAGTTTTCTTTCCCATTCTGGAAAAACACCTGCCATCTCAATCTCCCAACTTATCCATCTTTAGTAGAAGCACTTCAGTTCTTACATCTTGATAACATTTCTTCTTCTTCTTTTTCCCCTTACTTACAGATTCCCTTTTATTTTTTTCTTAACACCACAAGACACAGTAACTTTAACAAGTACATTTATCATCATATTAAAAAATATCTGGATCCAAACTATACACATAGCATAATGTAATATGTTAATATTATCTGTCTATATACTGTTAGGTATGAGACTTTGTAAGTTCTCAGGCAAGTCCCATAGAAAAACAGGACAATCAAAAATCTCTTTGTTTTTCATGGTCTGAGGAAAGATCTACCATTGCCATGGTTTTCATTCCAAATGAGCCCAAGTAGCAGACAGAGATGCAAGAAGCAGACACAGACATCTTCAAACTGACTTATACAGCTTCCAGCAGAAATCAATAAAGGAAGCCCTGTTAAACTGCAATGGTAGAGGACTGGGTTTTTTTTTTTCACTTTTAAAAAATTTACTCATTACAATTTATTCACTTTGTATCCCAGCTGTAGCCTCCTCTCTCGTGCCCTCCAAATGCAACCCTCCCTCCCTCATCTACTTCCATGCCCCTCTCCCAGTCCAATGATAGAGGAGGTCCTCCTCCCCTTCCATCTGACCCTAGCATATCAGGTCTCATCAGGACTGGCTGCACTGTCTTCCTCTGTGGCCCGGTAAGGCTGCCCCCTCCCCCAGGGGAGGTGATCAAAGAGCCACCCACTGTTCATGTCAGAGACAGCCCCTGTTCCCCTTACTAGGATGCCCATTTAGAGACTGAGCTGCCACAGGCTACACCTGTGCAGGGGTTCTAGGTTATCTCCATGAATGGTCCTTGGTTGGAGTATCAGTCTCAGAAAAGACCCCTGGGCTCAGATCTTTTGGTTCTGTTGCTCTCCTTGTAGAGCTCCTGTCCCCTCCAGGTCTTTCTATTTCCCCCTTCTTCCATAAGATCCCCTGCACTCTGCCCAAAGTTTGGCTATGAGTCTCAGCATCTGCTTTAATACCTTGCTGGGTAGAGAGTCTTTCAGAGGCCCTCTGTGGTAGGCTCCTATCTTGTTCCTTGTTTTCACCGTCTTCCAATGTTTATCCCATTTGCCTTTCTGAATGAGGATGGATCATCTTACCTAGGGTTTTCCTTCTTGCTTAGCTTCTTTAGGTGTACAGATTTTAGTATGATTATCCTACATTATATGTCTAATATCCACTTATAAGTGAGCATATACCAAGTGTATCTTTCTGCTGCTGGGGTACCTCATTCAGGATGATCTTTTCTAGTTCCCACCATTTGCCTGCAAATTTCATGATTTCCTTGTTTATAATTGCAGAATAGTATTCCATTGTGTAAATATACCACACTTTCTATATCCATTCTTCAACTGAGGGACATCTGGTTGTTTCCAGATTCTGACTATTATGAATAAAGCTTCTACAAACATGGTTGAGCAAATGTCCTTGTTGTATACTTGAGCATATTTTGGATATATGCCTAGGAGTGGTATAGCTGGATTTTGAGGAAGCGCTATTCCTAATTTTCTGAGAAAGTGCCAGATTGATTTCCAAAGTGGTTGTATGAGTTTATATTCCCACCAGCAATGGAGGAGGGTTCCCCTTTCTCCATAGCCTCTCCAGCATGTGCTGTCACTTGAGTTTTGATCTTAGCCATTCTGATGGGTATAAGGTGAAATCTCAGGGTTGTGGACTGTTGTATTGAAGCCTTGGCCTTCCCCTCTATGGGCATTTTATGTTATGCAAATACAACAACCTTTTAGTTGCTCTCAAAGGCACAATGTTTTTACTTTGAGCCGTTTTATTCTATTTTCAAGCTGGTACAGAGTCCAGGAGCATCCTGACCCAGGGCAGGGGAGTTTGAAGGACACTTGGAGATAAATCATCTTGAGTATGATGTGAGAAGGCCAAATCCTAACTCTTGTGCCAGTTCCTTGGTGAGCTTAAATTGCACACTTTACCAAGATGATACAAAGGGCATTTGGGTCTCTGTGTAATGGAAGAGACATGTGGTTGCCTTGTTTAAAGGGTCAGAGAAAGAAGAGGAGGAAGACAGTGGTGTAGGCTGAACAGGAGATGTGCTGTTGAGTCCAGGTATCAGCGGGCTTCTCCACCCTTCTCCAGAAGCCAAAGTCAGGAATGTTAGCCATGGCCAACTTCATTGTGAAAAGAGTGTTGTGGCTGAATAATAGCAATTTCCAGAAACCATGGTAATTAGCATTCCAGAACTAGAGCATGGATTCCTGCCCATCCCACCCCTGCAGAACCCTGATAAAAGAAATGCTTGCTGGTCATCTGATGTTCCTGTATTCACAATTCACTATTTGTTTATTACTAACAGTGGCCAATCTCAGCATGTGCACACACAGACAGAAACACACACACACAGACACACACACAGACAGACACACAGACACAGAGGGACACCCCCACAGACAGTCAGACATACAGACACACATACACACACAGAGGAAGCTTTTCACCCATGTCCCCCACATTGTGCTTCTGCCCTGTAACCACCCCAGCTTATGTAATATTGTCTTTCCCTAAATTTCTATCATAATCAACATTAGCCAATTTTATAACATGTATAGCATGTCTCATAAACATAACAGGATTTAAGAAATACACTGTCCTTTCCCTTTAGGCCAGAGGGAGTCAAATCTATTAATGTTAACTGTTTACTTATTATTATTATAGAGGACTGGAGATCATCGGTATGATGACTTTTGTAGAATGGGTCAAATTAACAGACATCTGTGTTTGCCCACTAAAATAAGATATATGGTTATTACGTCATTTACCCAGTGCCAGGGGGAGGAGGGACAGCCTATTTGGAGAACTCTAGTAAATATTTTAAATGTTTAACTTAGCAAAAAAAAAATGTTTCTGTAACTCAGGTTTTTAAGTTTTATTTTTAATTATCTGTGTCTGTGTGTGTCAATGCGTGGGACTGTGAGTGTATGCACAGATGTCTGCCAGGGACAGAAGAGGACGTCAGGTCCCCTGAAGCTGGAGTTACAGGTGGTTGTGGTTGGCAACCTGGGTACTGGGAACCAAACTCCAGTCCTTTTGTAAAAATATTTATTTATTTACTATGAATAGTGTTCTGCCTTCATGTGTGCCTGCACACCAGAAGAGGGCACCAGATCTCACTATAGATGGCTGTGAGCCAGCATGTGTTTGCTGGGAATTGAACTCCGGACCTCTGGATGAGCAGACAGTGCCCTTAACCTCTGAGCCATCTCTCCAACCCCTCAGGTCCTCTTTTGGAGCAGTGTGCTCTCATGACTGCTAAGCTCCCTCTCCAGCCGCTGCAGGCCAGACTTTGTAAACACTAGTGAGAGTTCGTCACGATGCTCAGAAACAGCACAGAAGTTAGCTTATGAAATGTTTATTTCTGGAATTTCCCACTTAATATCTTTGGATCATGGTAGAGTATAGATAACTAACATAATGGAAAGTGGAAATTGATAGGCACCGACTACTATAAAAGCTACTGAATGACCTAGCGGCCCAAGGCTTTCTGTTTATATAAGGCGTAATGTTGAAATCTGCAGCATATACAATATGGATAATAAGTGTCTATTCATTAAAGTGCGTGGGCCCATAACAAAGCTATCAGTTCTACTAGAAAGACAGAGAAACCCACAATTCCACCAGCAGACATTTGTAGAGGGGGTTGCGGAAGCAGTGACTGGGTCGGGAAGCCCATTGCTGTAGATCTATCACTAAACAGATTCCTTACTGGGTGACTTCACTCAAGATGGTTGCCCTGGAAAGAGAATTAGGTCTCAACCTCAGTTATGTCAGAAACTGGCTCCTTGGGCCAGAGTTTAGTTCCTGAAATCTGTACCATTTCATTGTCTCACCACAGGGAGATTGCTAAATTTAGAGAGGGAGAAAAACGTCAAAAGACATGTCACAGCTGGTAGCACCTTGGTGTTTAACCAAGGGGTGGTTAAACACACACAGTCTGTGGATACAGACTGTATCTACAGAGAACCATGCTTGCATTGGAACTGTAACAAAATATCATCCTGCAAATGTACAGTGAGAAACAGGATAGTCAAATGGACTGATACATTGGTTCCTCTTCCAGGACTATGGGAAATCAAAACTTGGGGGATGCAGGGAGGAATGACTTGAACAGATTCGGGTTGTGAACCCACTAGCCTCGTGATCTTTGCTGGGTTATCCCCCTTATACCCTAGCCTAAGCACAGAGCGATGTCTCTCTTGTAG